GAATGATGAGGTTTTAATATTAATTTACTTGTTGAAGTATGGATTATATAAGGTATAATTTAATATATGTTGAGAATATAATTGACTCAAAATGAAGAAAAAAAGAAGTGATATTTTCAATCCTCGTAAACATAAACAATAATTACAAAATCTCTTGTAATCACAATTATATTGAAATTAATGATTAACTAATCAAATATGGGAATAATGATGTTTAATTTAATTATTATTATGTCATTACCCTATACCCTTATTATCAATCAACCAAAAAAATATTGTATATAAGAGAACAAATAGTCCATTCTTTCTATTTTTCAATCTTGAGGAGGCCTCTCTCCTTTGATTATTTTAAGAATACACAACTCATTATTAATTAGTGTACTTTCAGAAACCCTAAAAATTAATGTGATAATCATAAATTAATAGTGTCTTAATCCTCCTACTAAAAAGAGAACCTTTCAGCTTTTTAATTTTGAAGTTGATAAGATTTATATAATCATAATTCTCAAAATATTATTCCAAGCAACAAAAACTATCATTAATAATAATAATAATAATAATAATAATAATTTATAAGAATAATCTTATCTTTCAGCCCTCAAGACAGTGTGTTCCCAGCTGCAGCAACCCACAACTTTGTTTAGTCCTTTAAAAGAATGTAGTTTTCTATGTTATCTCCAACTTGCTACCTTTTAAAAAGAGAACTTTTGCTTGCTCTAAAAAAAATAATTATTAAGTAAGACAAAACAACTCAATTTCAAAAATTGTTCATCCAAATTTTTTAAAAAAAAAAAAAAAATTATTTTTTCAGTTGAAAATAAATAAATAATTTTTTCATTAATTGATAATTTATAAAAATGCAAAATAATTTATTTATTTATTTAGTAAAAAAAAAAAACTTATCTATTTTAAAAACTTTTAATCACACTCTATTACAAGAAGAGTTCTAAAAAGAATGTCGTATAAACTCACTCTAAGTGAAAGTAGGGGAAAAAAAAAAGCTTATTCGTATTAGTGAAATAAAAATACAAAACTTACTTGTTCCCATTAGCAGCATGGAGTTGAATGATGGTTTGCTTTTCTTGTTGACTAAACTCTCCTCTCTTGATATTAGGTCGGAGATAATTAGTCCATCTTAATCTGCAACTTTTTCCGCATCTTTGTAAACCTTAATAATATAAATAAAAATATTAAATTCTTTCGTGCTTAACATTAAATATATACATATATATAATTAATTTTTCATTTCAATAATTGTTATTTTCATTCATTTTTATGAGAATTGATTTAAATTATTAATTGTACTTTCATGTATTCTCGTTAAAAAATTATGTTATTATTGTAATCAAGTGTCACATAATTAATGACATATCAAATATATGTATGTATATAAGCAATGAAGAAGAGCTAGCAAGTAAAAGATACAAACTACATAAATGTAAATACCTGCTCTTTGTGGTAGGGTGCGCCATCCACCCTCACCGTGTTCTTTGATCCAATCAATGAGTTTTTTATCTTCTTCAGTAGTCCATGCACCCTTCTTTAGACCTTCGATATTGCATGGTGTCTTCGTCATTTTCATACATAACCCGGACTACATATATTTATACTTAAAACGAAAAACTTTGATTCATGAATCTTCTATACTTAAACAAAGACTTGATTCATGAAATTGAAGCTTTTTATAATTATATATATATTTTCGATATATTAATCTATTGAAATATTAAAAATGTGGATATAAGATATAAAACAGTTTGATGATAGATTGAAGAAATTAATAGATCTTTTGATCAAAACCTTTAAACAAACATATCTAAGCCTCACTGATACTCTACTTGCTCGA